TGGCTGAAAAGGGACAGATGAAAAAATGGATTCAAATTAAACGAAATGAAAGATTTTTAAGAAGATGAAATTAACTTATTCACCAATTAAATGGGCTGTCATGTTATCGGTGTTTAAATAAAATAAGCACCGATGTTTAGAAGATCATTCATGTACACACACTCCTGGTCTAATTCTTAACAATTGTAACTCAATTGCTTGCTATATTTACACGGTAAGAAGGCTTACATATTTTCTAATTAAAACGTAGAAAGAATCATTCATATATTTTTATCTACATATAGGACTTCTAATTAAAATCCAAGTAGGGGTTTTAATTTAAGTCCAAATTCAATTAGTTTACATTTAATTAAATGTTTAGTCCTAGACTCCAATTACAATTATAATTAAGTTGATAACTTTCATAGTAATTACAAGAAAGTACAAAACTTTTTTGTAATTACAATTAAACAAAAACTATTAAAATTACCGTAATTAAGTTCCGATACTTTATGAAACTACTTAGGGACCTGATTGGACATATATTATCCAAGCTGCAATAATTAGATCATATCTAGTCGACTCCAGATCATCCAATCTAATTATTAATCTTTGTTTTTCACTAAAGGTAAAATACTAAACTCTTAAAATATATAAGATCACAGAAGTCAAAAAATCTGTAATACTTTCCTCTAACCTACCGTGCATGTGTTTTATTCCCATCCGAGATCCGATAATTAAATGACCATTTTGCTCCTCTAATTATTCATACTAACTTAAGTTTCAGTTTCTTCAACGGTTCTGTGAACTAATCACAAATGTCAAAATTTAGCCATCGTTAAATATTGAGCTCAAATTTTAATCGTTCAACAGAAATTACTTAAGTAGTCACTTTACTTATTTTTCAGGGTGACGATTTTCTACACGAATTCATGTTGTTTATTCTGCTCATTCTCAAGTTCCCAACTTATCGAAATATTTGACCAATCAAATTGATCTTACCTATTGATAATTAAAGAACCATTAAAATCATGGAAAGATATACATAATCTATCGAAGGATTTATATAAAATACATAGCAGTCTATTGGAATTTAATTCTCCACACAATTATGCTATAGAATTAAATTCGACACGTAGTCTGTCCAATACACTACAAGTATACTAGTGTCACTTTTAACTATTTCTATGATAAGGTCAAATCACAAACTTAAATAGTGAATCGGTTAACACTACAACTTTCAAATACAAAGGTGCCAATCCTTGTACATTGGTTGTAAACAAATTATTTATAATCAAAATACAAGTCGCGTCACACTGTATTTCTCAACGCAAATACTCAACTTATATTATCTCAAGTGATCATAGACAATTTAATTTGCATGCTTAATAATGCAATAAATAAATAAAATCACAATTGTTTATTATAAATGATTATTTTATCATAGTAAAATATACTATATGGGTACATAATCCAACAAATCTTATGATTTGTGGCCAAGAAATAATAATCGACCCAAAAATTTGTGACAAATAAATAAATTGTAACCTCTAAAATTTGTAATTTGTGACTAAGAAATAATATGTTATCTATTAATTCGATAACTTGTAACCAATAAATAAATTATGATGTATTAAAATTTATGTTATGTGATTGAGAGAAAATGCATGATCAATTAGTGTTCGATCAATAAGTTACTATCTATAAAATATTTGATTATGACTAGTATGTAACTGATCATAAATTGTAATTTATGACCTCATTATATTTAATTAATAAAATATTTTTAATTATTTATTTAATTAATAAATTTTTATTATAACCCAAATTTTGAAATTTTAAAACATATTTTTTAATTTAAATTGTATATTTTAAATATCTTACATTTGTGTTGTTTCCTTCAATCTTTGCAGGACATAATGGGAGGTTAATTGGAGTTGGACCTCATTAAATTGAAATTAATAACGTGCAGGATTCACATGTAGCCAAAGCCAATAATGGATGTAGAAGAATTTGGGGTTCACTCTTGGGCTTTCATTTAGCTTCAATGTTAACCAGATTCGTATTGGAATTACTGTCCATTTTTGTTACTCCAAAATGATGAGGAAGTATAGAAAACGAGTTAAAATTTCAAGTCATTGTTTTTGGACTCCAAATCAAATCCAATAAAAATATAGAGGAACCGGACCTTGCTTCAACTCTAGATATAAGAGTTTCAAATTCATTAAAGAAATCAATTACTTGTGCACATTCTTTATGTATCTTTTCAAAATTTAATGTGGAGAAATGTAATTATCCACGAAGTTATTGTCTATCTGAAAAATTGAGAAGGATTTGAAACAAATGTCCATAAAAAACACCAACTTTGTGTTTGAACCACATTACTTTGAAATAATGTATTTCGAAATAGTATATTGATGAAAAATGTGAGGTTAAAAAATGAGAAAAAGTTTTGAATTTGAGTATAATATGATTTTATTGACGAAAATGTAGTTGAAATGACGTCAGATCACTGTTTAAAAATGTATTTTTTTTTTGAAAGAATGCTGCTCAAACAAGGCCCAAATACCAAAATCGAAAAAAATAAAGTGACAGTCGATCACACGTTTCTATCTTTTTTCTAAATTTTGATGTGAGCAATTTACATTGAAAAGCAAATGAATTCGAATCCATTTTCTTGATTCCAAAGGTCCCATAATTTGGCAAAGGACGAGATTCTTTTCAAAACTTGCGGTTCATCGTGCCCATACCCGCCTTTTGGGCCGTCCAAGATTCTTGAATCCATTTATCAATCCAACACTTCGCAGATATTCCACCAAATCATCAGCTGAAAACGACTGAATCAAAATGGCAAATTCAATCCTCAAATCCCACGTATTCCGCAAGAACCCTGGAGAAATATGCCTATGGCCGAAACACATTCTCCTAAATAATGCTACTTTATGCAGTAGTAGACGATTCTCCATCCTACCTCTTCTTCTACATAATAATCTTCGTCTTCGTTCTTCTTCTGTTCCGATTTGCCGGAGTCTTCTTCTTCATCGCGCTCCTTGTGTTCCTCTGCAGCGACGTCGTTTAACTCCTCACTTCGTTTCTATGTCCTCCGTAAACTCGTCACAGGATACTGGTGCCACCCCCGCTAAAACTGTAAGTACCCTTTTTCCATTATCCATTTTTATGTGTATATAATATTCCATTTTGGTCTTTATTAACATTATTTGGAGATATCATCAAATCAATTTTTCGAGAAAGGTACAACTTTTGAAGCACGAAGTACTATTGTTCCTTTCTTCATTAATTACCATGATCCGAATTCAAATTGGATCACCAACGATTAATTTATGAAAATACCGATTTCATCATGTTATTATTCTGGAAACGTTTTATTTAATTCTGTAATTGACACTGTGTATTGGTACTTGGTATGTATATTTGTGTGATTCAGGTGAGGGTGGTGATAAAGGGGAGGGTGCAGGGAGTGTTCTATAGGAATTGGACAGTTGACAATGCCACAGAGTTGGGATTAAAGGGTTGGGTTCGGAACAAGAGGGATGGTTCGGTTGAGGCTTTATTTTCCGGTTGTCCAGAGAAGGTTCAGGAAATGGAGCAGCGATGCCGGAGGGGTCCTCCAGATGCAGTGGTCACTGGTCTTGAGGTCTTCCCCAGCACTGACGATCCCGGCACTAAATTTGAACGCAAAACAACTGTTTGATCAAATGATTTACTCATTGAACAGTAATGCTACTACTATTGATTTCTAACACCCGATTTTCTTCGGTATGTGATATGAAGTATGAACAATTTATTGTGTGTGTGTCTATATATATATGCTTAGTTTGCTGACATATACGAATGTGTTGTTAGTAATTCGTATTCGTTTGAATGGCTTTATGTTTGGCTATGATTTACTACTTTTCCGATTCATAAATTGTTAAAGCTTCCATAAAAGTTAGACTGAGCAATAGAGTACCTCGTATTTTTTCCTCTACCTCCGGCTGTCTCGCCAAGTATTCCTTCAATTAGGAAAACGAAAGAAAATAAATAAGAATTCTATCAAGAATTGGGGACTCACAATCATTAGCCAATAGGCTTTTCTGTCATGCCTTTCTTTGCCCAGTTGAGATGTAATATGATTGCATCACGATGTCTAAGGACAAGATCTTATAGATCGTTGTATCGAGTAGTTGAATCTTCTATTCTGGTTCATGGTTTCTTTTGGCTATATAGTTCATCCAAGGGAGATATCGAGCTTCAAAAAAATAGTTAATGGTCTTATCAATACACAAATGTATAATTCCTCTGAATATGCATCTGGTACGTGATCTAGTAATTCAAATTATCCAATGGGTTAATCCAGCAACACAGACCTCCATTGTATTGCCTAATATGCTCTAATTCGAAGATATTTAGTTTGGAAAATCGAAAACCCCTATATGTTCGAGAACTAAATTTGATTAAACCTTCAAATAGAATAGGAAAAGCCATTGATCCCCCGGTGTCCATGTACAAATTCTCTCCTTTTCTAAAATCCTTGATAAATGGATCTTTAATATATTGATCAATTAAATAGAGACATGGGATAATGAATACTTTATAGTAGAAGAATTTCTTCCGCGTTTTTATACAGTGGTCCTTTTTATCCACTTGTCCAAAATGATTTTCTCCTAAATCAATAATAAAATAAATAAAATTAAGTGTCTAATCAATATAGTCATTCCAAAATGCCCACTTTTGATGGCTCGAATAACTGTAAATAACACTTATCAACTGGATTGCAATTCTTGTTTAGTATTGTAACATCACTTTTGTGATAGAAGCAAAGGTTATAGGGGTTTTGCCCCATTTACCCAAACAAAAGTATCATCTTTTGTTATGGGAGGTGCTATCTAACACAATATAAGATTGCAATCGATCACTACATGGCATATTCCACCTCCATTCTCAGTACATTAGCACAAAATGGTTTAAACATGTGTATCTAGGTAGTTAGTATACACGTATGATGCTTTTTGAAAAAATTGAGGTCGCTGGAATGAACTCATCTACTCCAACGACCTGTAAAAAGAGGATGGGAATTCTCTCCCATAACCCCTCTAAAAAAAATTAGTTATAGATTAGACTAGGGATCTTTGTTAAGGATTATGCTACTTGACATAAAATGATGTGGAAGGAAAAAAGCTGATTGGAGTGACATGTGGCATTATGTAACCCGTAAGATTTAATATACATGTTGCAAGGTCACATTGTCAAACTCACACGGACTATGGTTACATTGGCCTCACAGGATGATAAGATAAATGTGAAAGGACTACATGAGTAGACTAAGCCCCTGATTGGTTTAGATAAAATTAAGATTTTTAGTAGATTTTAATAAAAGTTGATAGAATATATGGTTGAAAAATTGTGGATTTCATGAAATGTGTGCTTAAAATTAATTGTTGATTTTAAATTAAATTCAATATAATTTATCGATTAAACCAAATAGGGGCTAAGGTTGAAGGTTGAAGAACGGATTGATAATCTATGAAAAACTCAACTTTAAGTGTAGCATAGTGATAGAGCTTGATTATTAGAACCATTAACGATCTTCGCTCGATGGATAAGACTTAGCGAATTAACTTCATCTATCCATAAAAGATCATATTAGGATAAAGTACCCTCGCATGTCCACCCTAACAATTTTCTGCTTCAGTGTGATCGCCTAGGCAAATGCAGGGATGACCTCTCATTTACACGAGCAATATAGTATTTCTTCCATATCTTCTCCTGGACTAATTCTAACATGGGAGGCAAAACGGGAGAGTTCCACACCTTGTCTTAAGGTTATCAGAGCGTTGGAGTTCATTCCAATGACAAATGAGTGACCCTATCTTCTCGTTTAAAAATATATCAATTTTTACCTTTTAAAAAATACAAAACTTAACTCGATATCTCTCAATCCTTAGTCGGACAACCATTCCATCTCCTAGCACCGTCTCAATAAAATCTCTCCCTCCCTCACCTTAGTCAAACTTGAGCACAATTTAATGAAAAATCATTTTTTAATCAACTTGCAAAATAGTGTGGAATTTGCGCACCTTCCAAGGCTAGTTTATTGTACGATATACAGATTACTTTATTATAAAAGAAAATAAAAAATGTTTTATTTTAATTCCCATGCTCTAATTTTTATTATTTTACCAGAAAAGTTTCTCTTTATAATCTGGCATTAAATATCCGAAATTATAGTTGTCAACTTATGGCAATTCTGTCGGTCTCCTTCAGTAGTGTTTACATTACACAAGTAAAGAAACAGATAATTATTAAGGACAATAAAAATATAATTATGATTTTTTTTCTCTAAAGCCTTGTTTTGTCTTCTTTTCCGAATAATATCAACCAAAATAAGTAATTTTTTTAACTTATAAGTAAAATACTTTCTAAGCATGTTTAAAAACATATATAAAACGACGCGTTTCCATTATTCCAGCAAACAAGGAAACTCACAGGAAATCGCCCATGAGGATGCAGCAATTCAAACACAGTACAGACAGTTGCATTAATATGCACGAGACAGGGGACCCATGCATGCTTTCTCTCTCAGAAACTTCATAGTACACACGCCATCCTCTTTATAAATTCCTTCCAAAAATCTTCAATTTTATAGCCAAACAATTCCTATACATTTCTACTGAATCTTGTTCAAGAAAATGATAAAGGCAGAAAGAAGAAGCGGTTTGATCATGTTTAAGCACTTAATCAAAAGACTGCAAAATCTACTTAAAATCTTGCACTCCAGGTTGCCAGATCTCAATGCTGTTGAGTTTGAAGAAGAGGAAGACGGTGGGACAGTCCCGGACGACGTAAAGGAAGGGCATTTCGCCATCGTTGCTGGGAAGAACGAGGAACAAGAAGGACAGAGGTTTGTTGTGGAATTATGCCTTCTTAAGCATCCTGCATTTTTGAGGCTGCTGGAGTTGTCTGAAGAGGAATATGGATTTGAACACAAGGGTGCTCTTTTACTTCCTTGTAGAGCTGATGAATTTCAAAAGATTCTGCAGCAGATAATGTAAAAGAATGCTCATCTTTTAATACTGTAAAGGAATATGGTTGATTAGTAACTAATTTGTTCTAGAGAAATAGAGCAAAAAAGAGTCGGCAAATGATATTTTTACAAAATATAATGAAGTAAACAATTTTTGCTAGTATCTAATGGTGCAACCATTGGCCAATGTACCATGAAAAATAAAGTCTCTTAGGGCTCCTTTGTTTGGGTTTGTGGGTTTGCTTCTTCACAAAGAAAGGAAGTTCTTTTTGTCCAGATAAAGTATTTTCAGAAAACAAAGTCTCTTAGGGCTCCTTTGGTTGGGTTTGTGTGGTTGCTTCTTCACAAAGAAAGGAAGTTATTTTGTTTGGATAAAATATTTTCCGAAAATTATTCAAACAGCTTAAAGGGAGCTTCTTGGTTTTAAAGAGAGTTTTTGACTTTTTAAAAGTCATATGAAATTAGCATTGAACGTGATTGCACTATTTAATTAATATTGAATAATTAAGTTTTATAAAATTGAAGTTTCGAAGCAAGCGTCCTTCAAATTCACTCCCTATTTTGGCTTCGCCCGACCCCTAATCACTTAGTAGTGTCTTTTCATATTGTGGTTTACTCGTTCGAAGATGAAATACAACTGGAGTCTCATTAAATATCTCGACCTATAATCCCTGCCTACATAATTTTCACATTATCTCAACCTACGCTACCTTTAAAATGATGGTACTATAAACCAGATATTTTCCAACTAATTTTCTTAAGTGGAACAAATGTTATGCCAAATTAACTAAAATTCTCACTATTTCAGCTTAAAAGGTTTAATACTCCAAGCTTTACAAGCCTAAATGAGCTTAGGAGAGGCCTATATTTTTAATTTTTAATTATTTTAAGAATTATTAAACAATTAAAATAATATATACCAAACATCTAAAATTATAAACTTAATTCCAGTTTTCAAAATGAAAACATCAATATTTTTTTCAAAATTTCGATTTTCAACTGGACATATCCTAATTGAAAATTTCTGAATTAATTCATCATAGTGTGTTGTTTCTTGTTCAAGTCAGTGATAACAAATGTTGTCGGATGAAATCCTGTATTTTGCCTGATCAGGTGGCATATAACGTTCACAGATTTTACATTTGGAATACTCTCTAGGGGTGGCACAGGCACTTCGTCAATAGCCTTACGGCTTA